ATCCATTTTGGGTATCCCCAGCATCATAGCATTCCAAGTGGCTTGATCTCTGTTCCAGTATGGTTTCTCTCAAATTTTTGAGAAGCTCTAATCAAACCAGATTTTGCATACATGTTTAATAACTTTCCATTCCCGCAACTGAATGCCATGCCTTAAGAGATAAGCATGGGTCTGCTTTCCAATATCACGGTTTCTCAGATTTGAAGCTACTCAAGCAAAGCAGTAACATAACGAATCATCATATTGTTGTTTCTGCATCCATAAAAAAGCATTAATCCTTCATCATCCACCCATTCTGACACAAAGCAAAATCATTGTATTCAAAGAAACAACATCCCGCTCCAGCATATTATCAAAACTTTAAATGATGTAAGGACAAACCGCATCTTGAACATGACAATAATTGCACTCAATCCATAACTGGCAATATTGCCAAATTCTTAATTATTAGGCATGCAGCTGTTAAGCTAAGTCCATCCTGCAACTGTGAAACTGCAGTTAAGACCGATAAAAAAGTCACCTCATCAAACAACTTTCATCTGATAACATAGCTTCAATGAAAAGCACAATACCTCAAACATGTATTTAAATATATTTATTATTGACTGAAAAGTTGATAAGATTAAAGAGTATATTATTACTGCATTAGCTCATTTCATACAGTTTGTTATTATAAATACTTACATTAAATAATACAATGGTTTTAGTAACCACAACAGCCTTTGGACAGCCAAGCAAAACTAGCAACACAACCCAAGAGCAGCAGCTGAAAAACCCAACGCAGCACACCTCAAAAACACCACGGGGAGGCCAGAAACCAGTCTTCACACCAGCTCACAGTTCCGCAGCAAACAGACACCAACCAGCCAGCAAGAAACCATCCGCCAAGGCCTTAACCAGCAAAAAACAGAACAAACACCAGAAAAAAACTGCCAAAAACCCAACAGCCCAGAAAAAACCTACAGCAGCATGATCACCCAAAAAACCCACTATACCAACAAACAACATGGGGCAAGGACAGCAGCTAAAAAAATCCGAACTCAAATATTCCACAACACTCCAAAAACTGCCTCCAACTGCCACGAAAGGAACCCACAACATCCCAAGCAAACACAAAAAAGACACCTAGAGAACATGCACACACAGCAGAGCGCCCAACCAACCAAAAACCAACGAAGAGGAAATCAAAGCAAAGAGATCCTCTTGAAAAATAATTAACGAGAAGCAATGAAAGTGAGATTTAGATTAATAATCGGTGGAGCCGCAGGACGTGATTGAATTTGGGGTCTTAATCCTTAATTATAAAAACAATATTGTAATAACCAACACACACAACCAGTCTCCCGTAAGGTTGAAGAAAAGTCAATCATTACCTTTCTTGAATCATAATCTCATACGGAGACGGGCCCCATAATTACAAGAAGTCGGTACATTCAAGAGATAAGAGCAACAAATTAAGACAAACAGAAGCTAATTTGTTTTTTCTCTCCATCCATGAAATTTTCAAGTTCATGTATATTTATTATTTAATTCATTGTAGCTATCTGCTGTTTAAGGTAAGATGTGCTTCATGTTACCTGAGCAAGCGGCAGCCGGTGGAGACGGGAGAAGCGGCGGCCGGTGGGACTAGAGAAGCGGCGGCCTGTGGAGACTGAGAAGTGGCAGTCGGTGGAGACTGAGGAGCTTTAACAGAGTGAGTGGTGAGTGACTGTGAGATGAGTTTAAAGATACGAGAGTGAATGTGAGTTATGAACGAGGATGTGATTAAGGTTGAAAAGATCACTACAAGACGTGGAGTTGCGTTTGTGGCTGAGATTGAGGATGCGGTGACGGTGGAGACTGTAGACGTGGCTCTGGAGAGTGCAGACTGGAGAAGCGGCAACGGTGGAGTTCTTGGGTAGCGGCGACGGTGGATTTGCCGGTTGCGCGAGTGAGTTTGAGAGACGAGAGTGAGTGAGTGTGAGAGAGGAGATATGATGAGGATTTCAATTCAAAAGACAAACCGAGACCCGCGGTGTACCCGTCTCACCCGCTTTCAAAACGGTCAGACCGGGTATGGGTCAAACCGGTTCTGAACTTCTTTTGCCAATCTAGGTGGAACGTACAAATATGTTGACAGAAAATAAATAGACGAATGAATATAAAGTCAAATTATCATATTACTGTTTTATTTATTTTCTGTCATATCTCTTTATACGGACATCTTTTTATTCATTCCCTGTCACATTACTTCGTATAGACATCTTTTTAAAATTCTTCATACTTTGCATTAGTGATTTGAAAAACTACAATAGATAATTATTAGAGAATTACCCATGACAAACTACAAACCAAATTCAGAAAAAGGATTCTTTACACGATAGAAACATCTACAATGGAGATTAAAAGTAAACTAACAATCTAATGTTGATAATAGTTGAAAAAAATCAACTAAAAATAAAATTTTTCACACTTCATCACTCACATATAACTTCATCGTGCTTCTTGGTTATATTGAAGGTGTAGTCATCCAAACACCTGACCAAATGGGTTTTTTTAGGACGAACAAAACGCTTGGCTAATCTTTAATTCTTTATCATCCAATCTAAAATGATCCGAATCATCAATCTCAGAACCTTATCCTTCTTTACAGATATTCTATAATTATCTCACTCATTACAGTCTAGATTATGATATTCATTAGTGAAATATACGCAATTAGAACATCTTGAACAATTTCTACTCACAAAAAGAATTTGATCCCCCAAACTCTCTAACTCCCTAGGTCCTTTTATAGTAAAAGCATACAAGTTTTCTCATGAGATTTCCTGAAAATATCAAATTTAGATCACGTTTGTTGGCATTAGGGAACAATGTTTAATTCCGTCCGTTAATACTACAAGATAAATTTGGTCTACCGATAATTGATATTTGTAATGAAGTCTATAGTTTTTCCACGTTTAGAAATTTTGAGGAAAATAAACAAAGAAATTGAAAACCTTATTAATATATAGAATCATGAATATTGAGATTTTGTTATTTATTAATACCATTAAAAAGCTTTTTGCCAATAGAACATTCCATCTTTTATATTGAACTCACAAGATTACCTTTTTTTTTACTTCTGTTTTGCTAAATTGTATTGAAAGACTTTTAGCCCCTACACCGTCTAACACCCTAACTCCATATCTGACAGGGGTAACAGTACCACGTTCCGAGAATATTGGATGAAAATGGTATTTCCTCAATACAACCCCCTTCTTCAACTTCAATGCTTCTTTGCCAACGCCTCACAACTCTCATTGCCATCCTCCCTTCCCTTTTCCTCTTCATCCACCAATCCCACTTCTCTACACGCACACAAATGAAAACCAAAATGACACGTCACTCTCCACTCCTCTCGTTGGGGGAGGCGCCTCAGGCCAGTTGGGCGGTGGCATTGAAGAAGTGAGACTCTACTCGGTGCCAGTTCCAAACCTCATTCTTTCTCTACCCTTTACCATCTCCCAAACTCCCGCCGACTTGTTCAGAAAGTTCTGAAGTGGTTCGGGTTCAAGTTTGAATATTTCTGTGGCTTGTTTCATAGTGGGTGGTTGTGGATGGAAAGCTGTGGTTAGAGAGAAAGAGATGGTGGAGACTTGTTTTGGGCATGAAATACTGTGTTTGTGCCTAGTTTGAACCCTTATTTGGATGATGATCTTGTTCAGTGTGTTGCTCTTGGTGGAGTTCACTCTCGTTGCTTTGACTTCACTTGGGAAGATTTTCGCTTGGTCAGTGGTATTAACAACTCTACATTCATTTTTGTTCATTGATATGTTGTTCGTTTGGTGTGAAGGTTTAAACATCTTTTGCTTAGGCGTCATTAGCAAGCCTATTGTTTTTATAAGTGTATTACGTGTTGAGTAATCAAAGGTTAAAGAGTGTCTATTTTTTTTTTTTTTTTTTTTTAAGAAGTAATTAGCAAAAAGGCTTACAAAAAATATCACTTTTATTTATGATTTGCAACGAGATGTTGTTTTATTTGGAGTCTATACAAATTTTGACCTTAAATTTGTCTATGAATCTTGCAGGGGTAATGTAATACCCTAACCAAATTTTCTTGGGTATGGTAATTTAATATTTTAAAAGAGCTTATTGGGGAAGTTAGTTGACATGATGTAGCACTCTCCTTGAATTGCAACCAAGGACTAATGAAACAGAAAGCAAAAGAGCTTTTATCGATATATGGAATCACATTTGATCCAGAGCAATTTTCCTGTCTTAGTTAAAATGGGATGTTGAAGCAACTAGTATGTTATGATTTAGAATATATCTATGTCAGTTTACTGTTGCCTGATAATTAATGATGTTCTTGTGCTTGATTGGATAAATATCAGAGAAGAGAGTTGTGTGCACATATTCATCACATTGTTGTGTTCACTTACGTGTTTTTAGCCTGATAATAAATGGCTCTATCAATGAAGTTTGCAGGGGTTATGGTGGTTTTGGTGCAGTTGGACATTCTGTCTATCATGGTTGTTTCCTAGATTGGTGGAAGGTTCTTGGAATGGGAAAATACGGCACATTGCAACCAGTGGGACACATACTGCTGCAATAACTGAATCAGGTTGTTCTTCTTAACTGACCCTGTTTTTTGTATGGAAATCTTTCTTTCATGTATTATGGGGTTTGCATTTTGGTATATCTGCTTAACCTGGACTAAATTTATAGGAGTTTTGATTTGCGACCTTTGGAAACTGCCCTCTGACCTCAATATGTGAACATATCAATCTAGTACTGCAGAACAAATTGAATGGAACATATTTCAAATGTCTATAGGTTTATATACTAGCATTTATGGGTTTCTGTTGTTCTTTATGAGAAGATGATTCATATTGCCTTCATATTAATTACAGAAAAAATAAAGAAAGAGGATGTCAAATATCTTAATCCATCTATTATTGAATATGGGGGAACTTTGCACTTGGAGTCGAGAAGGAGATGGAAATTGGCCTTGGTCCTGGTTGAGGCCCTAATGAGGGAGGTGGACTTAGTATCCCTTCTAAGGTCAAAGCATTACCTGTACCTATGGCTGCTGTTTCTGTGGTGGCTTGTTTACAATAGTGCTGACAGAGGAAGGGCAACTTTGGAATTGGGGAGGTAAAGATATCAACTCTTTTGTTTATTTCTCTCCTTATCTCTACCCAATTGCAGTTTAGTTACTTTCATTTATTTGTTCGGAAAGTTCACAGTTCTGGATATCACTCTCTTAAGTTTTCAACTTTGATGAATTTCATCTATCTCTGCTTCTAACATTACAATGACATCATATTACACATTGTCATGTGTTCTGCTCAGAAAGTTTTACTATGAGCTTGGAAGAGGTGATAAGGTTGGTGGTGGAGACCCAAGCCAATTCCTAGCCTTGAAGATTTCGTATCATTCAGATAGCAAGTGGTGGCTGTCACTCCCTTGCATTAACAGTAAAATAATTCCTTAAATTCACGATTGCCACAGTAACCTTATTAAATCCATTCCTCACTTGCCGCCCCTCGTTCCATTCTAGGCTGTATACTAATATTGGTTTTTCTTTTTTTATGTATAATTTCAGATGAAGGCAAAGTTCTTTCTTGGGGATATGGTGGACATGGTCAGTTGGGTCATTCTTCACCGAAAATCAGAAAGTACCTGTGGTGATCGAGGCTTTAGCTGATGAGTGTGTAGTTTACTTCTCTTGTGGGGGCTCATCGTCAGCAGCCATAACACGTAAGAAAGTTAAATGGTCTTTGATATTTCCATCACCCTTCAATCCTACAATCTTCCAACGTATCTTAGTTTCCGATCTCATAATAACACATAAATGAGGTTGAGGATATCTTTTAGTATTCAACATAAGTTGAAAGATACTTAAATTTAATAAAATCAAATATTTGGATATCATTATAGAACAATAATTTTATATGCAAATCAAATAAATAAAGCTCATGAGTATATATTTGTTTTTACCATAATGTTTGATAATTTGCTATATATTCAGATAAAGGGAAGTTGTACATGTGGGGAAATGCCAAAGATTCTCAATTGGGAGTTCCTGGGTTGCCAGAGGTACAACTGTGCCTATTGAAGTCAATTGGGACCCCACAATGTGTTATCTATTGCAGTTGGTGCATCTCATGCCATATGTTTGGTTTCCAGGTCATGTTGTTAAAGATGGTCTACTAATCGAAAGGTTTTCTCAACTCATATAGACACGACAAACAAGTATGTATCGTTTAACAGCTCAAACGGAGGCTAGAATAGATGTGTAGAATCTGAGGATAGGGTAAGTTCTTTAAGTTACTAAAATATTGCCAAAGTATTTAGGAGGTGAATTCAGGTTGCTGACTGGTTAGTCAATAAGTGGAGCTTCACCTTGACAATTGCTGACTCATAACTGCTTTTGTTTGAATCCCTTTAATGAATTAAATTATCTGGGAAGAGTAGAGAATTTTGACATTATAAGTTCTTGTCACAAATGCAAGTTACCTTCATAATCTCATGTAATGCCTATTGTTCCCTCTCACTGTATGCATCATCTCGTTACATATTAGTTTATTGACATTCCTTTTTGTTGAAAGTTTATTGCAAACATGACTACTTTTCCTTTTAATATTGATCATATTGCTCAGTTGCTTTTATTTGAGTCGACATGAGAAATATTTGCGATGAATTTTAATAAGAAAGCATGCAAATAAATTATGTTTGCTCAGGTGCATTTGATGCCCTGTTACGAATATCCATTGGTTTTGTTGTATGATCTTTGATGCTCTGGAACTGTGGACAATATTATAAAGTGATAAATTTAAAGTTGGGTATATTTTCGAGAAAAACATAGAATATCACAAGATATCATGTCAGTCATGTCACAAGTCCATGTATATATGTTGTCTGAGAATTTTTTTTCTTTACCATCCATTTTTGTAATCAATGAGATTGGTGATTGAACTGAATATCTACGTAGTATGCATATATTGATTTGTGATATCATTAATGCGGTATCCCGTGGTAACATAAACTTTTTCGTTCTTGAAGAAGCTAAAGGGTAGAATTTGCCTCAATGTTGGTAGATCTCATAGAAGTTAAGCCAGCTAAATAAACTATCACGTTAATGGAGAACATCATTCACACAAAACTTATGTGATTTAAACTTTATATCTCCTCATCTCTCTTAACTATAATTATATAAATATTGAGAGAATTTATGATACAACAACTCACATATACCGCATGATCAGTTAAGAAGTAAATATTTCATGTCATTTATGCACATCATAAATTCAGTAATTTGTTATACAGACGACGTGATACGACTCGTATTCTAAGTTTTCTCAACCAACTATTCTTACAAAACTCCCTGATACAATCAAGAAAGCTTAAAGCAAGAGAAAATATAACCAAGAGAGAGTTATCACCAGAAAAACCAGAAGCAAAAATGAGTTACAACTACTGATTTTGCAAAGCGGCTGTTGGATCGAGATGGTCAGTTCTCAATCACAGTTCTTGTCATCATGAAAACAATTGATGGCTCTTCTGATCACACTCGATCACTTCCAGCTTTTGATACTCAAATAAGGTTCATTAATCTTCATTATGTAGACCCTCCTTCACTGGAAAAATCTAAAGTTTCCAGAGAAAAACTTGTGATTGATCATAGAGGGAGTTACAAACCTTATGTTAAAGAAGCTATTATTAAGAATGTTCTTTCAAACACTAACTCAGCTCCACTTGCTGGGTTGGTGTTTGATATGTTTTGTTCATCAATTGTAGATGTGGGAAATGAACTAGGTGTTCCTTCTTATTTGTTCTTCACTTGTAATGCAGATTTTCTTGGTCTCATGTTGTACCTTCCAGGTCGAGATGATGAAGTTGGAAGAGAGTTTGAAGAGTTATATTCTGATTATATAATTCCTGGTTATGTTAATCCAATTCCTAGCAGAATTATGCCTTTGTTTTTGTTTAACAAGTATGGTGGTTATGATACATTTGTGAAGATTGGAAGAAGATTCAAGGAGACCAAAGGGATTATTGTCAACACTTACACAGAGCTGGAGGCTCATGCTGTTAAATTTTTGTTGAATGATTTTGAAGACGATAATTTACATCATGTTTACACAGTTGGGCCGCTTTTTGATGTGAAGGGGGAGAGTGTTAAGTTATGTTTCAGTGATGATTCAGAAAGAGATGAGATCATGAAATGGCTTGATGATCAACCTGATTCATCAGTTGTTTTCTTGTGCTTTGGAGGCCTAGGGAGCTTTGATGGAGAGCAAGTGAAAGAAATAGCACTCGGGCTGGAGCAATGTGGTCACAAATTCTTGTGGTCTTTACGCAAGCCGCCACCAAAGGATAAATTTGAAGGGCCTAGTGATTACAAAGGTGATCTCCAGGAAGTATTGTCAAATGAGTTCCTGGAGAAAACAAATAAGAATGGTTTGGTATGTGGATGGACACCACAAAAGGAAGTGTTGGGTCATAAATCAGTAGGAGAATTTGTTTCACATTGTGGGTGGAATTCAGTCTTGGAGAGCTTGTGGTTTGGAGTTCCAATTGCAACATGGCCTATGTATGCAGAGCAACAGCTTAATGCATTCCAAATCGTGAAAGATTTGGGATTGGCTGTGGAGTTGAGATTGGATTATAGAAATACTAGTGGAGAAGTTGTGTTGGGAGATGAGATAGCAAGAGCTGTAAAATGTGTGATGGACACTGATAACGAAGTAAGGAAGAAGGTCAAAGAAGAGAGTGAAAATAGCAGATTAGCAGTGATGAATGGTGGATATTCATATGCTGCATTTGGACAATTGATTGAGGATATATTAGGAAACATGCCATGAATATATCAAAAAATCTTTGGAAACATATGAAAACGTTTTCTCATGTTAACTTGCTGCCAATGTTTTAACCATTGCCAACTTCTACTCAAACTGTGATTACTTGGTTTCTTTCTGCTTCAATTTTATTTCAATGTGATCAAATCTTGTTTCTTGCTGCTTCTACTGCATAAACTGGAAACGAGAAAGATTCTAAATTTCATGTTGGGGTTAGTGTCCATGCCTCAAAGGGCTCAAACTTTCTTCAGTGCTCAATCAAATTCTGTTCAAAATTGCGCCACTGCCATGTGATTAACTTGCTGGAACTAAGGACACTTGTCGTGTATGCTAATGAAGTGAAAATATAGATTATTTAGAGATTTGTTCTCAAATAAAATGTGTCATGGATGACGATAATAAGGTGAGGAAGTGAAAATTGTTGTCATTTTACAAATTATATAGACCTTTAAATTGATTATAGGGTTCACTTAACCCGACTAGAGATAAAATTAAATAAGACAAGTACATTTGCATGATTGAATAAGACAAGTACATTTATATGATTCGGCAGGAAATGCCCGTGACAACATGCAAGCTTGATTGGGTTGGGATTGATAATATAATAATTAGAAAATAATTTACATATTTGAATATTAACTAAATAAAACTATAAAAGACAGGAAAAATAAGAAGTTTTCATCTTCTCAGATCTCTCATCACAACAGCCACAACTAAAAATGAAGAAAGTTGACCTTGTCCTTATCCTTGGACCAGGCGCAGGCCACCTGGTTCCCTATATTGAGTTTGCAAAGCACTTGTTGGATCGAGATGATTGTTTCTCAGTGACTGTTCTTCTCATGGATTCTCCTTTTGGCCCCTCTCCTTCAGCTGCACACACTAAATCACTTGCAGAATCTAATACTTCAATAAGGTTCATCAATGTTTCTCCTCCTGTTGACTACTGTCCTTCACAAGAGGTTCATAAATCCTTTGAAAAGTTTATGACTGAGTATATAGATTGTCATAGAGCTTGTGTTAAAGAAGCTATTGTCAAGCATGTGCTTTCCAGTTCTAACTCAGCTCCACTTGCTGTATTGGTAGTTGATTTCTTTTGCACATCAATGATAGATGTGGGAAATGAATTTGGTGTTCCTTCTTATTTGTCCTCCCCTTCTAGTGCAGCTGCTGTTGGTCTCTTGTTGTACCTTCCAACTCGACATGATCGAGTTGGAAGAGAAATTGAAGAGTTTGATGGTGATTTGGTGATCGCTAGTTATGTTAATCCAGTTCCAAGCAGTGGTCTGCCTGACGTTTTGTTGAACAAGCATGGTGGCTACACTACATTTATGAACCATGGAAGAAGATTCAAGGAGACCAAAGGGATTATTGTCAACACATTTGAGGAGCTGGAATCTCATGCTGTTAAGTCTTTGAAGAATGATTTTGATCATATGCCACCTGTTTACACAGTTGGACCAATGATTGATCTCAAGAGTGAGAGTGACAAGTTAGTTCTAGATGTGACAGAAAGAGATAAAATCCTGAAATGGCTTGATAATCGACCTGATTCATCAGTTGTTTTCTTGTGCTTTGGAAGCCAAGGGAGCTTTGGAGAAGAGCAAGCGAAACAAATTGCAGTCGGATTGGAGCAAAGTGGGGTGAGGTTCTTGTGGTCAATACGGAAGCCACCACCAAAGGATAAAATTAAAAGGCCTAATGATTACAAGAGTGATCATCTCCAGGAGGTTTTGCCAAATGGGTTCTTGGAAAGAACAAAGAAGATTGGTTTGGTTTGTGGATGGGCGCCACAAAAGGCGGTGTTGGCTCATAAATCAATAAGGGGATTTGTGTCACATTGTGGGTGGAATTCAATCTTGGAAAGCTTGTGGTTTGGTGTTCCAACTGTGACATGGCCTATGTATGCTGAGCAGCAGATTAATGCATTCCAAATGGTGACAGATTTGGGATTGGGCGTGGAGTTGAGATTGCATTACAGGATCATGAATGGGGAAGTTATGGTTGCAGATGAGATAGCAAGAGCTATCAAATGTGTGATGGAGAGTGATAATGAGGTGAGGAAGAAGGTTAAAGAGAAGAGTGAAAAGAGCAGATTAGTAGTAATGGAGGGTGGATCTTCATATGCTGCATTTGGAGACCTGATTGATGATATATTAAGAAACAAAGCCATGAAAGAAACATAGTCTTGTTTATTCATATTTAATCCTTAATGATATAGGGATTTTTTCCATTTTCCTTAAAAGAGTTTCAAGTTCGAAAATTCTTCATGAAATCTTTTTATCTACTATTGTTTCATTTTGTTGAAGTGTGAACCTATTGTTATGAAGTCCCTAGTTTAAGAATCAAGCTACAGTGTTGGAAGAACGTTGAAGAAAGCTGGCCATCAGGTCGCCGCGACGACATTAATTAGCGCGCAGCGTGTGGTAAGAAGAAGCGCTGAATGAGGAGGAAGTTGCGCCTACTGCAGCATGCGTCCTATTGTCCTAAAGTCCTGGACGTAAGTTAATTTATTTTCTTGTTTTAAGTAGTATTGTTTTAGAATAATTCCTATTCAATAAGAGATTTGTTTGAGTTTGATTATGAAAGTACATTTCGCTGTTCCTTCCATATTAGTGTAGGAGTAGATGTCTTTTTAAATTTTATGACCTGTTTTCAAATCTCAATAATCCAAAATTGTCTTTTGTGCTCAACCTTTCTGTTCAAAAGTATGTGTCTACACTATTACTTAATAACATATTGGTCTAGTGGACGTTGACAAATTTCTTTATCCCTAACATTTGATACTTCCTTATTGGAGTAAACGACTTCTTCTCACCCACGTTTGCCTTAATTACAATTTCCCACCAAAAAGTTTCAAAATACCATTTCTCCACCCAAGGGTTATATTCTATGAATACCCAATATACATTTCACTTTCTCAGCTGATGTTTGACGAGTTACCAAGAGTCAGGGTAAGAGGGTTTTTATAGAGTGGAGAGCGGTAGATTGAATGGTGATGACCAATGGAATAATCGCTACTGAAATCAATCAAAAATTAGCTAAGAACATGAAGCCTAGTTTTGCGATAACTAACAATCAACGAGAAATCAAGTACCGGAGTGAGACAGGTTTTATGGAGAAGAGACTGGAGGTTCAAATGCTAGTGAGGAATCGACTTTGAGTAATAACGGAATATTAATTTTGGGTGAGAAAGTGATATTTTGAAACTTTTTTGGTGGAGAATGTTACTAAGGCAAACCTTGTTTACTCTTTCTTATTGCTCAGAAACTGTTTGCGTGATAACATATTCCCATAGTTTGATGAGTAATACTACATATATAATATTTTCATACAATATTTTTCATATAATATTATGTGATAAAAAGATGATTAGATGAAAATTTAAATTTAATTTAAAATCTATCAATCATATTTTATCATATAAAATTATGTGAGAAATATTTTTTCGATAATGACATCTGACTATTTCTTAAATAAGTTTTAGAGAGTTAAAGAGGTGCATACATCATGTACGGTACATTTAACCAATAAATTTTGAAAAAGGAAAAATATTATACTCTCATCACAAAAGCCACCACCAAAAATGAAGAAAGTTGACCTTGTGTTCATCCCTGTACCAGGCCAGGCCACGTAGGTCCCCAAATTGAGTTTGCAAAGCGCTTGCTAGATCGAGATGATCATTTCTCAGTGACTTTTCTTCTTATGGATTCTCCTTTTGGCCCCTCTCCTTCATCTGCACAGACCAAATCATTTGCAGAATCTAATACTTCAATAAGGTTCATCAATCTATCTCCTCCTGTTGACTTCTCTCCTTCACAAGAGGTTCATAAATCCTTTGAAAAGTTTATGACTGAGTATATAGATTGTCATAGAGCTTGTGTTAAAGAAGCTATTGTCAAGCATGTGCTTTCCAGTTCTTACTCAACTCCACTTGTTCGATTGGTAGTTGATTTCTTTTGTACATCAATGATAGATGTGGGAAATGAACTTGGTGTTCCTTCTTATTTGTTCTCCCCTTCTAGTGCAGCTGCTGTTGGTCTCTTGCTGTACCTTCCAACTCGACATGATCAAACTGGAAGAGAAATTGAAGAGTTTGATGGTGATTTGGTGATCCCCAGTTATGTAAATCCAGTTCCAAGCAGTGGTCTGCCTGAAGTTTTGTCGAACAAGCATGGTGGCTACACTACAGTTATGAACCATGGAAGAAGATTCAAGGAGACCAAAGGGATTATTGTCAACACATTTGAGGAGCTGGAATCTCATGCGGTGAAGTCTCTAATGAATGATTTTGATCATGTGCCACCTGTTTACACAGTTGGACCAGTGATTGATCTCAAGGGTGAAAGCAATAAGTTAGCTTTAGATGAGACACAAAAAGCTGATGAGATCATGAAATGGCTTGATGATCAACCTGATTCATCAGTTATTTTCTTGTGCTTTGGAAGCCAAGGGAGTTTTGGAGAAGAGCAAGTGAAAGAAATTGCAGTTGGATTAGAGCAAACTGGGCTGAGGTTCTTGTGGTCATTACGGAAGCCACCACCAAAGGATAAATTTGAAAAGCCTAGTGATTACAAGAGTGATGATCTCCTGGAAATCCTGCCAAATGGGTTCTTCGAAAGAACAAACAAGATTGGTTTGGTGTGTGGATGGGCACCACAAAAGGCGGTGTTGGCACATAAATCAGTGGGAGCATTTGTGTCACATTGTGGGTGGAATTCAATCTTGGAGAGCTTGTGGTTTGGTGTTCCAATTGTGACATGGCCTCTGTATGCTAAGCAACAGCTTAATGCATCCCAAATGGTGAGAGATTTGGGATTGGGTGTGGAATTGAGATTGGATTATAGGATCATGAATGGGGAAGTTGTGGTTGCAGATGACATAGCAAGAGCCATAAAATATGTAATGGAGAGTGATAATGAGGTGAGGAAGAAGGTGAAAGAGAAGAGTGAAAAGAGTAGATTAGCAGTGATGGAGGGAGGATCTTCATATACTGCATTTGGAGGCTTGATTGATGATATATTAACTATTAAGAAGTAAAGCCACGAAAGACGCATATAGTTTTAGTTAATCATATTTAGTCCTTAATGATGTATGGATTTGTTCTATTTGCCTTCTTCCCCGGGACGAGGCAGAGCCCCCAACATCATTATTGCATATAATGTGCAACATGCTGACTTTATAAAAGAGTCACTCCCGTTACAATAAACCAACGAAAAGCAAAAGTATTCTTCTACTTTCTCTCTCTTTCAGTTTCATTATTCACTACCACCAGCAACAATGAAGAAAGTTGAGCTTGTTATCATCCCTGCACCAGCTGTAAGAAAGTATGACTTTAATGATGTGAAATATCTCAAATAATTAAATTTGTAGCATCCAAGAAGTAACCATTACCATTGAAAGCAGCACCAATAAAGAGAGCTGAACTATTCTTGTCACGAAGCCACCTAATTTTGACACTCATCACAAAGTACTTCCCATTCCCTAAATCACTCGCATTCTCAAAATTACTAAACTAAGTAATTTGAAATTGGATTTGTCTCACATCCTTATATTAGTGGCTTACTATAGTGTGTGTATATATATATATGTGTGTGTGTGTGTTCTCATCCAAGGTTTAACAAATCAGCAAATTTTCACCTTTGGTTTCATAAATTCTAGATTCCTATTCTTAAATTAATTCAAGAGTGAGAATTTAGAATTTATGAAATGTGAAAACTTACGGTTTCAATAAACCTTAAATGGGAACATGCCGCTAACTCTATATATAATTGGGCTCCCTTCGCTAACTTTTGAAAATGAGTTACATATACCCAAACCCATTTAACATATTAATTAATACCTAGGCTAATACTTGCACATTACATAAGCTTCTTTACCTCATTAAAAAGTCGTGATTCTCAATCAACCAGGGCAAAATGTAGCTATTGGTCAAAAAGCATGCAAATAAAGTATTGTAAAACTTCAATAAATAATAATTTATCGGACATTGGACATAAATAATTTATTACATTAACATGTTTAACATAACTTTATAAAAGACTTAGCTCTAGATGAGTGTATACTACATTTCTCACTCATCTTGAATAAACCCAAGAAAAGAAACATGCTTCAATCTTCTTCACTCATCACAACCACCACCAGCAACATGAAGAAAGCTGAGCTTCTGTTCATCGCTCCACCAGTCATAGGCCACCTTGTTCCCCAAACTGAGTTTGCAAGGCCATTGTTAGATCGAGATGATCGTTTCTCAGTGACCGTTCTTCTCATGCTTTTCTTGGCCTACTGTTAAACCTTCCGGGTAGACATAATCAGGGAGGCAAAGAATTTGAAAAGTTTGATGTTGATTTTGTGTTCTCTAGTTATGTCAATACAGGTCCTAGCAGAGCTTTTCCTACATTTTTGTTTGATTAAGCTTGCAATGTGCTAGGGCCAAAAATTGTCCTTGGCCCCTAAAGGAAAACGGACCCGACACTGAAGAAAAAGCCAGGCCCAATCCCGATATGACCCAATCGGATTAGGCCCTTTTGGTATAAGATATAGCCGGCCTAAACCACGTGGGCACGAGCCTCTTAATCCTAGTCCATTTCCTAGGTCCATGGGCGAGTCCAGAGCCGACAACTCCCTCAGAATACTTTCCTACTCCTGATCAATCTCCCATTCAAGGTCACTTTCCTATTCTTGATCACTTTCCTACTTGGAGTTACTCTCCTAATCAGAATCACCTTCCTATCCAAACACTGGTAAGATAGCTTATCACGGCCCTAATTCTTCTAGGGTTTGCATCAGAGTCATACTAGGACTCCTACTTCTACCAGGATTGGGAGACCAGACAGTCACTATATAAGCAGAGGCCAGCCCTCTCATAAAGGACACGGCATTACACCTTCACACCCGAAGCTCCTACTTGAGAGCTTTACATCACCGTCGTAGTCACAGTCTCTAACTAGACTTCCGGTAACCTCTCTATTCCCTAGCCCTCACTATACTAGCCTCTTTTGGCCTTGCTGACTTGAGCGTCGGAATGCCTACGGCAAACACCACCCCGGTGTTTCTCGTTCGCTTCACGCGTTTGTTTTTTTACGTGTGCAGGTGCAGTAGATCGCTAGTAGCCTCAACCTCACGGCATCAGACCCCCCCTTCCGTACAGGTAGATTTTTACATCTACAGTTTGGCACCCACCGTGGGGCCTCTAGCAATCATTCGGCTTGACGAACCTTGCTACGTGGAGGAACATTCCATGGCTGACAATCCCAACAACGTTAACTTCGGCCTCGAGGCCAGACTGGAGGCTTTGACCTCTCTCATGCAACAAAACTCAAACAAGGTGGCCGCACTGGAAGCCGAGAACAATACAATTCGGACCGAAAACAAGTCCATGAGGGCTGAAAACCAGTCTCTAAAAGAGAAGGTGAATCAATACTACGACCTCGAGTTCTTGCCTAACCAAGTACCCGCCAATCAGTTCCGCGCCCCTATC